AGCAGCAAAGGGGAGCAAGAAGAATTCCAACTCACCCACCACAGAGAGTTGGGAGAAAGTATAGCCAGTGTAGAAAAGGGTGGCTAGGAAAGTAGTGTCTCACATTGGAGAGCCAGGTCTCAGTAAATGTCAGGAGATGGAAAAAGTGAGAAAGAGGTTTAAGATGAAAGGAAGTTTATTACTGATGGAGCATTCCAGAGGGCACAGAGGAAGGGGTAGATCTAGCTTGGGACACTTGGGGGAGAAGGAATAGAGGTGGATGGGAATAAGGGAGAGGACAACAAGGCTTGGGAACAGGATTTATTCATTTCTAGCCTGAGTTCAGGCTAATACCAGGATGGAAAGAGTATGTGGTGTTGGAATTAGCAAATCATTAAGGAATGAGTCTGGGCTCATTTAGGTATCTGTGCATGGGAAGAAGTCCTTAAGGTAGGCAGGTGATTAGACCGTTCAAAGTCTTCCCTTGAGATCAAAGTGTTGTTTGGAGGTCAGGCTGTGGAATCTGGCAGCCCAGTTGAAAGGCTGGAGATGGCAGTGAGAGAAGGGTTCTTTGCTATAGAGGTTGGAGTTACCAAATGAGGAAGCTCATCTTTAAAGGATGGTAAGTAGTTATATATAGGCTTTCCACGGTGTAGGCCTGGAGGGCCTCGGAAACCACTAGAGGAAGATGATCTTCGGAGGGCAAAAGGTGGCAGTGTCACTGGTAGTGGCTTGCGTCTGTGAGATCTGTACTGTCCCAGGACGTCCACAATCCTTCCAGATGGAGGGGAGGCAAAGCTTTTCAACCTGCCCAGGAACCCTAGACATAAATCTTGGAAGTTTATCTGCCTCCTGACTCCACTTCTGGAGGCATCTGGGGTGACCCTGGGAGAAGCTGCCAATTGTGCCCAAGGTGGGGGTCCAGAGTAAGGATGTGGTGCTGTTCTGTCTTTCTGCCGAGTAGAATGGTTCTCCAGACGTCTGGGTTGCCAAGGGGAGAAGTTAGATATCTGGGAAGGGTGGTGGTGGTGTCCTGTACTTTTGTATCCTCGGAGGGTGCTGGGGAGGCCATAGAAGCAATCAAGTTATAGAGGGACTGGTGGTAGTAGTGTCTGTGTTCCAAATCTTCGAGGAGAGAGGAATGGTGGCGCCGGTGTCTCTGTGGCCTCCAACCTCCAAAGCCGATGTTGGTGACTTTTAACTTTTCACAGGAGGAAGGTGGTCTCCCAGGCTCAGGATGTGGCAGCATCGTGGTCTCCCGAGGCTTAGGCAGGGTCTGGTGTAGTGCAAGTTGACCCTGGAGGAAGCCAGTCATCGAGGGTTGGGCAGTGGTGGTGGTGCCGGTGGCGGCCGTGGGGGGGGCCGTGGGGGTGGGGGTGGCTGTGGTGGTAGTGGTGGAGGTGGCGGTGGCAGCGGCAGAGGCAGCCAGTTGCTGTTGAATGAAGTTAAAAGGGTGAAAGATAGAGTCGTGTTTTCCCCTTCTATTGGATAGTGCCACGCGAGAAGGCCCGACCCAGACAGGCGAGCCGTGGTGGTGTTGGGATCTCCTGTGTCTGGGAGGTGGAAGTGTCACGTCTTTCTGCCAGCGAGATCCCAATTGTCCCCAGAGTGGGCAAGAGATATCAGTGTTAGGTTGCTGCTTCTGGGGTTGAAAAGCAGCGCCGTAGCAGCCCTGGGGCTCACGGGCCACATTTGGAGCTTTCCAGGTGGCCTTCCGAGACCGAAGGCGGAGGTCTTGGACTGGAGGTGGCCCCATCTTGCCCACCCACCCCTTAGGAGGGTACTGGCGAGACCTGAAAGGAAACGAGAGGCTCTGGAGGCGGGAAGTGCTGTTGGTGAGTTCTTGCGTGGTGGGAGGTAGTGCTACTGGACTCCCGTGTGACCACATGGCGGCCCGGGGATGCAGCATAGGTACTGGGGGTGCGATGCGGCGGTTTCAAGTCCACCCTTTTCTCCGGCGGAAGCGTGAGCCAGAGGGGATGGAAGGAGCAGAAGGTGGCAGTGTTCCGGCCTCAGCTGGAGAGGCCCCAGTTGCCACCAAAAGTTTGTCTTCAGAGGTGGGAGGTGATGGTAACGAATTGCATACAGAATAAATGTAAAGAGAACAAATACAAATGCGAAATAGTTAAATACAAGGTGGATTGGGTAGGAGCCACTAGCAATAGCGGGGGTTATCAGGAAAGGCTTTCATGCACAAAGTGGGCCTTGAGCTGCCTGGGGAGGGACAAAATGCAATTCTCTAAGGTGGAGGTAATGAAGAAATGCATTCCAGACGCGGGGTAAAAACAGGGGAAACTGGAGGTACATTTTTAGGTAGCAGGGAAAGAAAGAAGGTCAGTTTGGATCACAAGAGTATTAAAGGGCTGGTAATGTCTAATGAGACATATAAAGATAGGATAAGGCAGGATTGCAAAGAGCAAACAAGGCCAGAGCTGACATTTTTTTTCCTATAAGGAAGCGCTGGAGTTTATGAGTCAGGGGAACACATAGATTTTCACTTAAGGAAAGTCACTTTGGCAGCAGCGTGGAGGATTGATAGAGTGGGGAGAGAATTAAGGCAGGGAGACCAATTGGGAAACCCTTGTTCACTGCAAGATAACCCCCTAGATTATTTCTAGGGGAGAGGCAGTGACTGCTGTGGTGCAATGAAGGTTGCAACCTGGCAACTGATGACATATTTGAGGTGACAATAATAAGGATGTTAGGAATGTGGGAGACCGAAATAGAATGGTGGCGACTTCAACAGAAATAGCTAAGTATATTAGAGGCTTAAATTGGAGGTGGGGGTCAGATGATGAATTTCTGTTCTGGAATTCTATTGAATTTAAGATGTCTATGGGACATACAATTAGAAACCTCCAATAGGCAGTTAGTGATATGAGTCTAGAGAGAGACTAGGGCTAGATGTAGAGATGTGGGAGTCATCTGCATAGAAATAAGAAAAAGCATGAGAGCTGATTAGGTTACTGAGAGATTGTGTGAAGAGGGAAAGGGAAAGAGGGCCTGGGACCAAGAGAGCCTTTCATTATAAAGGGCATAATTTGGTTGATGAACCTGCAAAGGACTGAGAAGGAGCAGTGAGACAGGTAGAAAAAGAGCAGGGAGGAAGGAGTGTCACAAGAACTCAGATGAGAGATTGTCCAGGAAGAGGGTCACATTCAGTAGATGACTGAGGACAAAGCTTGAGAATAATCCAGCAGATATGACAATTAGTGCTCTCTGAAAAGAGCAGTTTGGGTTGAATGAGGTTGGAAAGCAGATTGCAAAAAGCTGAGGAATGAATGAGAGAAGAGGACATAGAAACAGCAAGAGTAGACGGCTTTTCCTAGGAGTTTGGCTCAGAAAGGGAGGAGAGATATAGGATGATGGCTTGAAATTGGATCTGTTGAAGCGTTTTTTGTTTCTTTTTTAAGGTTGGGGGAAATTGCCATACTTCTAGGCAGTACATAAGAAGAGTAGGAGGGAGAGATAGAAGATTAGAGAAAGGATGACAGAGGCCTCATTCCTCTGGAGATGAAAGAAGAGGATGGGTTCTAGGGCACAGGGAGAGGGGGTTGCCTTGGCAAAGAAAAAGTCCAAATCACTGTCAGAACTGAAGAAAAGGATAGGGCAACTAGGTGGTGTAGGGGGTAGAGCTCCAGTCTTGGAGTCAGGAGGACCTGAGTTCAAATCTGACCTCAGACACTTAACACTTACTAGCTGTGTGACCCTAGGCAAGTCACTTAACCCCAATCGCCAAAACAAAACAGAACGAAAAAAAACTGGAGGAAAGGAGGAGAGATAAGAGATGATGTTAAAAGGTTTTAAGATAAAGAAAAAAGAGAAGAGGTAACTCATATCAGACGACACTAATTTTTTTCAGTAGTTTAAGAGGAGATATCCTCAGATTGAGGAGGAGGAATAAGGGAAGGTGTGGGAAGTTTGATGACAGAAGAGGTTTGGAATCACTTCTGAGGGGAATGAGGTAGGGAATCAATTATAGACCAATAAAAAGATTGCCTTGCCTACTTGAAACTGCATGCCATGAATGTATGCTGTGGTGGTAACTTCTTCAGCTTGGAGCAGCAGCATCTCAAGTAGGGAGGAGAGGAGGTAGTGGATCATAGGAAAAATCCAGGGCTTGGTTTTGGCAAGGGATGAGCAACATCAAGGGGGCAAGGGCCTCAGTAGAGGGCAGCGTAGAGCAGAACTGGGTTGAAAATTAGAAAGGGGGGTAAAGGGAAGCCAGAGCAGGAATAATGACCTGAGAAAGTATTGAGGGATGAAGGGAATGGAGGTCTGGGAGAGTGCAAATGATGGGTTTAGGAGGGGTGAGACATGGAGAAAGGTGGAACGATACTAGGTTACGGTCAAATAAGAAAATGCTCTATTTATTGCTTTGAGGGGGATTATTGAGAGGGACAGTTAGAAACCAATCCTAGTTCTGCTCTTCTCTAGGATAGACATCCCCAGTCCATTCAACCATCTTACCTAAATTGTGGTGACTAGAAAGGGCAGCATACATTGGGACTGTCACCTACCTAGCTCTGGAAATAAAGTCTCTCTTAACACGACCTAACTTGTCTTTCTTAGCTGCTAGCTTATGTTGATGGTCCATTTTTAGCTTGCAACTCATTAAAGCTCCAGATGTTTCTCACAGGAACTTTTTTTCTAGACACACCTCCCCACTCCCATCCTGTAGGTAGCTGGGTAGCACAATGGATAGAACCCTGGGTCTGAAATTAGGAAGACCTGAGTTCAAATCTGGCTACAGACACTTACTAGCTGTATGACCTTGGGAAAAACACTTAACCCTATTTGCCTCATCCGCCCTCAGTCTCCTCAACTGTAAAATTGGGATAAAAATAGAACCTATTTCCAGGGCTATTGTGAGGACCAAATGAGATAATGTTTATAAAGTTTTTAGCACTTTACATAGTAGGCACTTATTTCTTTCCTTCCCTACCCTGTGCTGCCACATTTTATTATTTGAACTCGTGTAGGCCTTTGGACAAAGGCCTTGTTTCTAAGTATCAACGTACCTTGACTTGATGAAATTTGAATCTTCAAAAAATAAATGAAGCAGATGCCACCTGGGTGAGAGAAAAAAGAAGGGCAGACTGATCACTTGAGGTATTTTGTAAAATGTGTGATAGACCCATGAGGCTCTTTCAAGTATATCTCTAACCTTCTTCCCAGGTAGTACACCTCAGAATCTCAGACTGGGAAAAGACCTCAAAGTTCATTTAAACTCATTAAGACCAGACCCCAAATCCCTTCTGTAACATCCCTGATAAATTGTCATTCAACAGCCACTTGAAAACTTCTTTCCTAAAAGGGATGGGGAGCTCACTTCTTTCAACAATCCATGCCACTTTGGGATAGCACCAGTGGTTAGGAAATATTTTCTTACTTCAACCTGCATCTGCCCTTTCGCAACTTCTATCCATAACTCCTAGTTCTGTCCCCAGGGACCCTTGAAATACTTGAAGACACATCAGTAGCCTCTCTAAGTCATCTCTTCCCCAACTAAACACCTCTGAGTTCCTTCATGCAATTCTTTGGTGTGATCTCCTGTCCACTCCATTCTGGTCATCCTCTTTTGGATACTCTGCAGTTTGTGAATCTCCCTCATAAAATGTAATCTCTGTCCCTTATATACCAAAATATTTATAGTAGTCCTTTCTATAGAAACAAAAAAAAAACTACCTCTGTAAACAAAGTGGGTGCCCATTAATCAGAAGAGTGGTTAAATAAATAGTGGCCTGTAATGAAATATTGTACTGGAAGAAACAATGAATGCGAGAAATTCAGGGAAACATGGAAAGACCTGCATGAACTGATGTAGAGTAAAGCAAGCAGAACCAGTAGGACAACATTCACAATGAGTACCATAAAGTAAATGTTAACATTACTCAAATGCAGGTAAGCTCCAGTTAACTGTATTGACTGGTCTTGGTTCAGAAGAGCAGATGATGATGAGAAACATATTTCCCTCCTCTCAGGGAAAAAAAAATCTCTTTGTGATAGATGACTTAAACGAACATCCCAAGACCCTGTTGGTGATCACCATTCCACCAAAATTGTTCTCTCCAAAGTTACCAATGATCACCTATTTGCCAAACCAATGGCCTTCTCTCAATCCTCATTCTCCTTGACCTCTCTGCAATCTTTGACACCATTAATCCCTCTCTCTTCCTTGATGCTTTTCTCTAGGTTTTTGGAACACCACCCTCTTCTGGTTCTCTTATTTTGCTGGATCCTCTTCCAGATCACACCCTCTAACTTGTAGGTGTCCCATGGGGGCTCTATCCTGGGCCCTCCTCTCTTCTCCCTCTATATTGCTTCTCTTGGCTATCTCATCATCCCCCATGGATTTAATTACCATCTCTATGCTAATGATTTTCAGATCTAGCTATGTTACCCCAATGTCACTGCTGATCTCCAATCCAATTGCCATTTCAAAAATCTTGAACTGCTTTTCCAGTACTCAATATGTCCAAAATAGGACTTTCTTTCCCCTTAAGCTCTCTCCCCCACTACCCACACACAACTTACCTATTACTGTCAAGGACAACACCATTCTCCCAGTCCCTTATGCTTCCTCGATATCTCTCCCCTGCTATACCCAATCTGTTGACAAGGCCTGTCAATTTCACCTTTGCAGTATCTCTGAAATATGTCCCCTTCTCTCCTCTGACATTGCCCCTATCCTGGGGCGGGCCCTCCTCACCTCATGCCTGGACTATTGCAATGACCTGTCAGTGGGTCTGCCAGACTCAAGTTACTCTTCTCTCAATCTCCATTCAACCAAGCGCTTAGTGATTTTCCAAAAGTGCAACTCTGACCATGTCACTCCCCCTGCTCAATAAACTCCAGTGGCTTCCTGTCACCTCCCAGATCAAATACAAAATGTTCTGCTTGGTATTCAAGTCCTTTCATAACCTAGCACTCCCCACCCCCCACTTTCCAGTCTTTTTACACCTCATTCCTTACTATGTTTTCTTCAATCCAGTGATACTGGCCTCCTCGCTGGTCCACAAATCGGACATTCCATTTCTCCATTCTGGGCATTTTCTCTGGCTGTCCACCCACGCTTGGCATGCTCTGCATCCTCATTTCCCCCTACTGACTCCCATGGCTTCCTTCAAGTCCCAGCTAAAATTCCATCTTCTACAGGAAGTCTTCTCCAACCTCTCTTAGTTCTAGTGCCTTCTGGCTATAAAAATGTGCATTTGACCCAGCAATAGCACTTCTAGGGCTATATCCCAAAGAGATCATACAAATGGGAAAAGGACCCACATGCACAAAAATATTCATAGCAGCTCTTTCTGTGGTGGCCAAAAATTGGAAATTGAGAGGATGATGCCCATCAATTGGGGAATGGCTGAACAAGTTGTGGCATATGAATGTAATGGAATATACTATTGTGCTATAAGAAATGATAAACAGGATGACTTCAGAAAAACCTGGAAGACTTGTATGGTCTGATGCTGAGTGAAGTGAGCAGAACCAAGAGAACATTGTACACAATAACAGCCATATTGTGCAATGACTAATATTGATAAACTTAACCCTTCCCAGCAATACAAGGATCTAAGACATCTCCAAAGGCCTCATGATGGAAAATGCTATCCACATCCAAAGAAAGAACTATGGAATTTGAATGTAGATCAAAGCATACTATTTGCTAATTTTTTTCTCTTCTGTTGAGTTTTGTTTTTTCTTTCTGGCGGTTCCTCCTATTGGTTCTAATTCTTACTTACAATATCACTAATGTGAAAATATATTTAATAGGAATGTATGTGTATAGCCTGTATCAGATTGTACACCATCTTAGGGAAGGTGGTGGGGAGGAAGGGGGAGAAAAATTCTAAACTCAAAAGCATATGGAAGTGATAGTTGATAAATCAAAATAAATTAATTTAAAAAAATTTAAAAAGGTGAAATATAAAAAAAAAATAAAATTGTGCTTCTACAAAAAAAAATTCTAGTGCCTTCCCCCATTAATTATTTCCTGTATTTAGCATGTTTGTACATATTTATTTGATTGTTGACTCTCCCATCAAATTGTGAGCTTCTTGAGATCACAAACTGTCTTTTGACTCTTTTTGTATCTCCAGCACTTGGTAGAGACTGTTCTGGAAGAGCAGATGGGCACAGCAAGCAGACAGACACCAGCCTGTCTTTCCCCGTTGGCAGTGTAAGCAAGTGCTGAGAATGTCTTCTCTCATTTCTTCTTTCCATATGAAAATGATTTTTTTCCTCTTGTGTTCTCCATCTATTACATAGATTTTTCCCTGTGCAATGGCATTTTTTGTTATTATTAAACCTTATTCATTTAGAAAGTGTCCATTCAGGGGCAGCTAAGTGGTGTAGTGAAAAGAGTACCAGCCCTGGAGACAGGGGGACCTGAGTTCAAATCCAGTCTCAGACACTTGAAACTTACTAGCTGAGTGACCCTAGGCAGGTCACTTAACCCCAACTGCCTTGCAAATAAAAAGAAAAAGAAAGTGTCCATTGTCTATTATTTTGCCGAAGTTGGCCACATGCAGCTCTTAGGACATTTCATAATTCACAGAATATATAAGCTAGCAGCTCTCAATCCTGATTTGGCAGTCAATGATAATGGTATCAAATTTAAATAGATGCAGCTCTCTGCTTGTTGCATAATGATTTAGAAGACTACAAATTAACATTATCTATGTTGTGTTGTAATTTCGCTTATTTTATTAAACATTTCCTGATTATATTTTAATCTGGTTCTGACTACACTTGGGAGTTTTTCAGGTCATTTGCAATAGCCGTGAGTTAGGCGCCTCTGCTAGGAGGTCATATTTTAAAAGCAACTGATGTTGCGTGGTTCATGGCTAAACTTCAAGAGCAGAATTGGGATGAAACCTGGGACTTTCAGTCTGTCCCTCATATCCCAAACCTGCCTTTCCTTTCTATTGGTAAGTTACCTAGTATGGTTCCCATGGCAAGTCCCTGAGGTTAAGCAATTCCCTCACCTCAATTCCTCTTCTCCAGAGAGAGTAAAGAAAGATAAATGAGGAAGAATAGACCAGAGGTGAAAGTCCTGTCCCAGCTGACTCAGGAGGCAGGGAAAGGGTAGTCTGAATATTTTTTACCTTGCCCATTTCTGGTTGGGAGGGGCAGGAGCAAAGAAAGCACAGACTGCAGTCTACTGGAATGACATCTAAAGGAGGGAGGCTACAGAAATATGGTCACAAAAAAGAGCCTCTTGCTTTAGCTTTTCCATAGCCCTAAGAAGATGGTAGGTTACTGTAGTTGAAAACTAGACAAAGCATTCCAACGAAGGGGACCACTGGACAATTTCTTTGAAATGTTGCTATGTAGAATAAGCCATGTGGCTGCAAAGAAAGTTGATTGCCTGTTTAATATCAACACAGCACAAGGCCTGGAATATAGTAGGTGCTTAATAAATGTTGATTGATTGATTGATTGCTAGAAATTGAGGGAAGGAATTTCCTAGACAAGCAAAGTAGGAAAAGCCATAGAGATGTCCATACTTTAATACTCTTGAACAGGGGTGGAGAGTCAGTTTTTCTCTTTATCTCAAATTAATTCTGAAGTTGGGTCCCTAAAAGGTTTCTTCATGCCTTTTTCTTTTTAAACCAACCTCACAGAAAATCTTTTTCAGGCTGGTTTTTGGTGTATCATGCCACCTGGTGGGCAAAATCATGAAGTACACTCTCTTTCTGGTTAATGGTAAAGTGACAACTGCAGTCTTTTGAAAAGCAAGATGAGTTAGTGCAATTATTTCATTAACATACTTCACTATATCTGGCCACTGGACCCAGATGGCTCCAGAGGAGAAAGTGAGGCTGGTGACTTTGCACAGCCCTGCCTCACTTGGCATTACCTTCTTGATGTAATGGTCCTCTTGGAGAATGAAGGACAAACAACAAACAAGTTAGTGTAAGTTGCTATGAGGACTGTGGCATCTCATGTGTCATCTGAGAAATCAAGTGCTCCTGTGTCAGATAACAGAAAACAGCAACAAAACCCCACTCTAATACTTCCCTTCACTTGGTTGCTTCCTTATTAAATTTAATATGTACAATTTTTGTTTCTTCTAATAATTATTAAATAGTAGAAAATGGACAATCACAATTCTTTTTATGCTGTTTTGTTTAATTCATGTTTTTGATTGGCATTTTCACGCTTTAGTGACTCTTCATATACTTGAATGCCTATCTTGGGCAAGGAGAGTTGAAAATGAAGTACGTTAATGAAATAATTGCTACTACTGGTTCCATAGACAGCCTGATCTGGCCCATTCCTATATATGATCTGACCTGGTTTGTTACTTTTATGCTAAAGTTCCTAACCCAGCTCCCTTCTCAGCTTGCTGGACAAAATGATAATATTGAAGAAGATTTGCTAGAAATGTAGCTAGTTCTGGGAACCACTTTTGAGTTTGACTAAAAATTGCTATATAATGCTATAATCTCAAAATGTCCATATTCTAGAAACTAGTGGATTGCTAAACCCCAAACCCATAGGTATGAGGAACCTGTGATTGGATCAATATTTCCAGAGTCCCTCCACCCTACCCCTACCCTCATTATATAGGCCGAGTTAGTTCTTTCCCCAAAGGCCAGAGAGCCAAGACTTAACATATGTTGCTTTTGATGGGACTCCCTGATTGCCTCAGATCACATTGGCTTGGCTTCCAAATCAGTTGCCCAGTGTCACACAGCTAGAATCCAAACTTAAATCTTACTGACTCCAAATCCAGTGCTCTATTCAAGATGTCATCTTTTTATAGATCCTTAATGTCAGAATTATATAATGTCAGAGTTGAAAGAGGCTTTAGAAATCATCTAATCCAACTGGTTCATTTTACATATGAAGAAACTGAGGCTCAGAAAGAGGAAATGAGTTGTTACCATGAGGCTAGAAAGTGAAAGAGCCAGGATTCAGACCTAGGACTTTCTCCAAATATAAGGCGCCTTCTACTTCAAGCATGCAATGGTACGACATTCCAATGATTGGACGTCAGAAGTGAAATTTTGGGACTTTTCTTTTTACTCCGTTTTCAAGTTAATTTAAAAAAACCATTTATTAAATGCCTATTGTGTTCAAGACGAATGATGATATGGGATACCAGATAGAGGGCCAAACTTGGAGTCAGGAAGACCTAGTTTCAAGTCAAGTCCTGCCTTGGATACACTCTTGCTATGGGTCCCTGGGCAAGTCACTGTTCCTCTTGATGCCCCCATGCAGCTCCCCTCCAAGACTGTGAGTTACAGATGGCTTGCTGAGCTTCCTTTTCTGTGGAGAGTTTCTTCACCAGAAGTTCCCTACACTGATAAAAAATCACAAGTCCTAATAGAAAATAAAACCCCCAACAATGAAGATGGCGAGGCACTGCAGATACAAATATGAAAAATAACTTGTCTCCTCAACTTCTAATGAAATGTTTACCACTATTATGTACTAATGAGTGATAATTCTATAGGAAGACCAAAGGAGACTGTGTCAAGTAATGAATTTAAGAATTAAAATAATAGGGCAGTTAGATGGCACAGTGGATAGAGCACCGGCCCTGGATTCAGGAGGACCTGAGTTCAAATCCGGTCTCAGACACATAACACTTACTAGCTGTGTGACCCTGGGCAAGTCACTTAACCCCGTTGCCTAACCAAAAAAAAAAGAATTAAAATAATAACATGAAAATCCAAGGTGCATCAAATGAGATTCATAGAATTTAAGAGTTGGAAGGAACTTCAAAGACCATTCAGTCTATCCCATACCTGAATCCCCCCAACAATATACTCCCTACAGATTGTCATTGAGCCAGTGCTGAAAATCTTCACTGATGGAGAGCTCATTACCTCCTGAGGGAATCTTTTCCATTTTTTGGGCAGCTTTCATCGTTTTTGCTTAAATAATACTGAAATCTGACTCCTTAAATCATACTGAAATCCTACTATCTGTACCTACTACTCTTTGCTCCTATTTCTGCCCTCTGACACCAAGAAAAACAAGTCCTATCTCTTTGTCACATGACAACCCTTCACAAAGTTTAGGTTAGTTATCATATCTCTGCTAAGCCTTCTCATCTCCAGATTGTTCATCCGTGGTTCTTTCAACTGTATCACTCACGGACTGGTGTCTAGTGTTCTCCTTACTTTTTTGACCCACAATGGACACCTTAGAACTTTTCGACGTCCTTCCTAAAACATATAAACAATTCTCCTACAACTGGATGCAACACTCCAGCTTATCTGGGGCTGATGGCTAAGCTAGATTGATCACTGCCCGATCATAGGCAGTTGCAAAATTGCCTGTCTGTGCAATGGCAAAGAAGTCCAAAGGGCACAGACACCCGTCATGGTAACGTAAAACCCATGCTAAAAGGGATGAGAATTGCTTGATCCTCTGAAATACATAATGAAGACAATACATTTTCTGTGGACCAGCTCACAAGGTGAACATTTTTCAATTAGTCAAGACTGGAAAAGAATAAGTTATTGAACACTTACCCCAGAGTAGCAAGCCCTGACTTCTAGCCATGGCTGTTCTTGACTGTTTACTAATAAGAAAGAGGAAACTAGCTGCCCATCCTCTTATCATCTGAGGTTTTTCAAGCAGCCTGGAAGGCCATGTTTTCTTGGTATAGTTGAAGTAGCTTTGTTACTTGAGTTGGGAAACATCACATGATTTGATATTCAGAGAAATTACCCATTCCAGAAAGGGGCCATGAGCATCATAATAATATTCATCCAAAAGCATTTTCTGTAAGTGCCTGGTTATACTGAAAGGACCAATTTGGATGAATATTAGTTTCTCTCAAAAAGATATTTTCAAAGCCTAGATTTATCTTTTCCTGTGAGGAAACTCCGGTCTTTGCAACTCCATCCAATAGCAGCTGATAATCATAGGCAGTTGTCTAGAAGCACATACAGGTTAAATGATTTGTCCATGGCCAAATGACTTATATTTGTCTGCTACAGGTCCTGAACCTTATTTTTCTGACCCCAAAGCTGGTCTTCTATCCATTCCACACCTTTCAATTACCACATCAAAGCGCCATGCAATAAATGAAAAGAGCAGATATATAATAAGGGTTTTTGCAGAGATAATGTTCGAAAAGTGCTCTATAAATTTTAAAGCACTATGTATAAATTGGTTCTGATTATTATTATATGAGTACTTTATTATTTATAATTTATAATTTGCTATTTTTATTTTGTCCTAACTAATCACCCCCAAAAGAAAAGTGCCCTATAAAAGGTAGCATGTCTTGATGGACAGGGGACCAGTTTCTGAGTCATAAACACTGAGTTCAAGTTCTGCTCCTAATGTACTGCCTCTGTGAGCATGGGCAAGTCACTTTACCTATTTTTGCCCCCATGTAACTCTCTAACACAATCAGTTGTTGCTGAATGGAGTTTCCAAACCAGGCATCCCCTACACAGCTTAAGGCAAAGGTCTATCTGGCCTCAGACCAAACACTTACTAGCTGTGTGACCCTGGGCAAGTCACTTAACCCCAATTGCCTAAAAAAGAAAAGACAAAGGTCTACCTATATTCAGAGGTTTTGTATCAGTGCCTAAGGACTGGCCCTGCTGGAATGTTGTTGAACCTTGTTATGCTCCTTTGACCACTTAAGGAAGGACTCAAACTGCACATTAACTGTGTTTAGTTCCTATGTTTTGGGAATTTCTGGAGTCTAGGAGAGTGGTGGACTCCCAGACACTTGGTATATGATCATGCCCTATCCCAGAAGTTCCCCAGATATAGAAATGGTATACAGGACAGTTGCCAGTTATTATTTACTATACAATTTGTTTGCTTATTGACTCTACGTGGAGCAAAAAATCCTGTGTCCAATACACAAGCACACTTGTCTGCTTCTGTGTAGAGTTGATGCCATTATGCCAAGGTCATGTGGTCAGCACTCAGTGAAATATAGGAAATTGAGAAGAGACAGTTCTCCAATGAGTGGGGACTCAGAGCTAATTCCATTTCAATAAATCAACAAATCCACACTCTCTATTACAATGAGTTGGCTCTGCCCCATGAGGAAGACAAAGTTGAGAGATAGAAGATCACTGACACTGGAGAACCATAGAAAGAACAGCATTTACTCTATGTCTTTACCCAGAAAGATATCATATATGTAAATCACCAGGGTGAGCATGGAATTCCCAGGACCCAGATCTTTAGAGTTGAACCTGATAGGGAGAATGACTGTCAATGCCACTTGGTAATTAAATAACATTTGAAGCAGCAACATAATACAGTAGAAAGAACATTGACTTTGAAGTCAGAGGCCCTGTTTTCTTATCCTACATATAATCCTTTTATGTAGGAAAGGGAACTTGGCTTGGTTGATATAGTCACAAAAAAACACAGAGTAGATATCAGAGGTTAGAAGGTGTTAAAACCTACTGATTCTTTTATGAAGTGTTACAGTCTTTGGGTGGAGCAGTAAATTGAGGACTGGATTTGGAGTTAGGAAAACCTATCTCAGTCATTTAGTAGCTATGAGACCCTGGGCAAGTCATTTAACCTCTGTATGTCTCAGTTTCCCGTTCCATTAAATGAGGATAATAATAGCACCTACCTCCCAAGGTTGCTGTATCAGATGAGATAATGCATATAAAGTGCTTTGTAAACCTTAAATCACTATATGAATGCTAGGTATTATTATTGTCTGAAAGAATTCCAAGGAACAACATCATTGAGCACAAATTGGACATGTTTTTTTAAGACTTTCAATGGCTAAACCCTAGATGAATTTTGGGGTTCTGGTGAGTTCAGGAAAAAAGCTACCTATGGAGAAGACCCCCTGAAAGAGGAGAAGGAGTTTTGTCTCTTCCTCCATTACTGGTCAGCAACAAAGCTACTGTCCTATAAAAGGAGAAACCCTATCCAGAAGTTGGAGTCCGTATGAGAATGTTCAAGGTACAGTGGGGGGGGTGGGGGGTGGGGCGGAGCAGAGACATACTCCAGATGGATACAGATACTGATAGGCAGTTTGTTGTTCAGGACTAGCATCAGCTTTGGGCAGTGGTGCTTCCTACAGCAGAAGAGAGATCTGGCTATGGATTCAAGAGAAAGTTAATCCTGGGGCAGCTACATGGCACAGTGGATAGAGCTCCAGTCTTGGAGTCAGGAGGACCTGAGTTCAAATGTGGCCTCAGACACTTGACACTTCCTAGCTGTGTGACCCTGGGCAAGTCATTTAATCCTGATTGCCTCACCAAAGAGAGAGAGAGAGAGAGAGAGAGAGAGAGAGAGAGAGAGAGAGAGTGCACTAATCCTGACAGTTGAGACTAAAGCTATGGAAAGGAACAGACCCTGGGGGCCTAGTTGAGCAAACCACCAATCAAAGATGCTGGACCCAAGGGGGAGAGAAAAGACTTTCAGGTCTTTGACTACTAGAGTAGTGAGTAGCCTCGGACATTCGTATTCCCTACGTGTATGTTTCATTACCATCGTACCCAAATCTGTGCCCACTCTTTCCACAGATGCTGTGTGAACTATACTAATGGGAGTGTTCCCCAGGTTACTGGGAAGGGGAGGTGACATATTTTTATAGCTTCTGTTCTTTGTAAATGTCTTTGCTAAGAGCTAATTACATCTACTGGCTGTTGTTGGTGTTATTTCTCCTTCATTTCCAAACAGGACCAATGAGATTACAAGTGATGTCTTGACTTGTGCGTGAATTGGATTTAAGTAAGGCAGAGTTGCACAAAGTCATCAGCCTAACTCTCTCTTCTGGAGTCTTCGAACTCCAGTGGCAGGACAAAATCCAGGATGACTGGTGATGGCCCAGGATGCAGTGGAAGATGTTAGAGTGTTTATTTTTTCTTTTCTTTTTTTTCTTTTTCTTTGGCTAGGCAATAGGGTTGTGACTTGCTCAGGGTCACACAGCTAGTAAGTGTTATGTGTCTGAAGCCCGATTTGAACTCAGGTCCTCCTAAATCCAAAGTCAGTGCTGTATCTACTGTGCTACCTAGCTGGCCCCGTTGGAATGTTTGATGTCTGACCAAGCTCTAAGTGCTCCACAGTGCCTGCTTCAGCTGCCTTCATGGCCATTGAAACAAATTGTTCTCATCTACTGTCTAATTATTAAGGGAAAGCACATTAGTGGAGACTCGAGGTATGGTTTGGGGAGTTATTAGACCCACATTGTTATTCTTAGAACTTGAGGTAGTAGCTGCCCTCAGGAGGACCTTCCAGAGCAAATATGGGTGAGGAAAAGTAAGCCTGGTGAGGTGTTGTCCTTATTATCTATGTGACCTTGGAAAAGTCACTTACAGGCCTCAGTTTCCTCATATATAAAATTAAGCAAATTGGATTATATGTAGTTCTTTCCAACTATAGATCTATGATCCTTGGATTTGAAGGGCTATGTTCAAGGCTTCCAAAAATGTCTGGCTTCATCAATGGGGATATTCCTTTCCAGTGCTATATTTCCGATGGAGAGCATGACTCCTCCATGCCTTAGCAATTAGCCTCTGAATTCTTTGACCAAGAATAAAAGAAAATAAAATGACTTGCTAATGAGCCTCTCCAAACTTACCTAGGCTGGTCATTGGATAACAGGCATGATTGATCACCAGGCCTGTTCTTTAAGTCTTCATAGGTTACTGGAACTATTCAGAACTTCAATTCTGTCTTAGATTCCAGAAGCTATAACGACCTTCATGTTCAGATGATGCACCAGAGGAGGACTCTGTAAGGAAGCTAATATAACATTGAGTTTCATCTAACAGTTCCTTGATATAGAGAGCTGTTTGGCAAAGACATTTTTAAATTTTAATGGATGGCTTGTTATGACAGTGCAGCTATGATTGTGTCTGCAAAGCCAATGAAAGCTCCAATCCCAAAGGACATATACATTTGTAAATCCTGGCTCATCTGGATGCCACTCAAAGAAGATATTGGTTTGGTCTGTTATTTTTGTTTTTGTTTGGGTTAAGTGACTTACCCAGCATCACTCAGCTGGTAGATGTCAAGTGTCTGAAGCCAGATTTGAACTCATATCCTCCAGACTCCAGGGCTGGCGCTCTATCCACTGCTGCCCCTTAGTCCATATTTATGCATTCAGTGAGAGGCAGCATGGCATAGTGGATAGAGGGCTGGCCTTTAAGTCAAGAAGACCAAGTTTTGAGCCCTGCCTTGGGCACCTACCAGTCATGTAATCATGGGCAAATTGCTTAACCTCTCAGTAGTCCTAGACAACTCTGCAGTGGTTATTGACCATGAACTTGCTTTTTAAATGTAATAACTACATTCCAATATAATTGACTTTCTTTGTAATCCTATGTATTTTATTTAATGCATTTAAAAACATTATTCAGAGAAGGGGTCCATAGACTTCATCAGACTGCCCAGGAGGCCCGTGACATGAAATGTAAGACTACATTGTTGCAGGTGTGTTGTAGATCTGCAGCCATGGAGCGAGTTTCTCTGTTGGAAGTTCCCAGCACCAATGAGGTCGCAGGTCTAGACCAGTAAACCAAAAATACAGACAAAACAAAACTTTGGAAAGTGTGCAAGTG